TATATATATATATATATGTATATCGCACTTTATTGTACTGTATCAAAGTCCACGATAACATAAATTTTCCGAAAAATTAAAGAACTCCGTACTAATTTATTAGAAAATTGAGTTCTGATGAGTTAATTTTTTACATATAATGATTTTTTAATTTATAATGTGATGAACAAAAAATATTCTCTAAACATTTATAAGAATAAATAATGGAGTTATTGAGTTGTTGTGTCTTAAAGAAGCATTAGTTGTATACCTTTGATATATCATAGCATACTTAAAAGTAATCCATTGAGTTTTATGTCTATGATATTTTTGTTCATCGCATAAGCTACATAATGAATGTTTTAGGACATATAATATAAATGTTCCATTCATTCTATTTTTTTTGGCATTCAATGAATAACAAAGATAAGAGGACACTTGTGTCTCCTAAAAGAACAACTTATATATGAAAATTAACTCATTTCACTGCAATCACCAGGATCCAATTTTCCATACAATTAGTGCGAAGTCCTTTGTGAGAGAAAAAATTATATCTTTTTCTCTTGGGATAGTCGCGATATAATGCATCTAATTTTCTAATTAAATAAGAGAAATGCTATTTTCGGCCAAAGTGGATCTTAGTGCTTAAATATTTGTGCGAATTTATATGCACATTTAATTTTGCAAAACCGAAATTTTTTTCAACTTTAAAATGCAAACATAAACAGAATTAGAGACAGAATTAGTACTACAATATCAAATTGATATCTCATTCAATTTTCATATTTTCGGAAAAAATAAAGAGAAAATCAAGAAATTAAGGGATTGCATCACGAGGATCATCATCCACTCTAAACTTTTTTTCTTCATCGATAAATTCGATGTGGGATCGATTCATGCGAGTCGAAAAGCCGATCGTGGCTTGAAGAAGCATGTCGCATGGCGACCCCGGTCAAACTCGAGCATTGAACCGTGACGCGATTTTCGTTTGTTTGATATGCGTTTTCTGCTGTAAGTTTATTGGCGTTCGGATTATATAGCTGTTCGAAATTACATTTGAGGCCTGGGTGCCTTTGAGCAAAGAAGAATAATACTGACGGCCGAATATCACGCTCCATCGCAATTTATAAGGCTGTTCTTTTTAGCTGACTTCTTGTACAAATCTTATCTTTCCTCTTTTTTTTCCAATGTCATAAAAAAGAAAAAGAGGAAAGATGAACAACAAAAAATTCAATTAAAATGAACAAGCCTAATAATTCATATCATGGCACATATTATGAAATTATTCAGAATAAATTTGCAATAATTCCGATCGGAATTGTTTAATTATTCCCTATATTTCTATCGTTTTCTAGAAGAAACAAAATAATTCCAATCGGAATCCATTCCGAACAATTCAATAATATGTGCCCATGAGTTCAAAATTCATAATTGTGGGCATTAAACTTGCATTCGTGTCTAGTGTCTACCTTTTCCTTAATAAAGATAGAAAAAGGAAAACGACATAAATAAGCACAAACATACTGAAAAAAATTTATCCCTTTTAATAGATATTTGTTTCAATAATAAGAATTAAGTAAACATTTACTTTCTAAGTAAACATTAACTTTCAATATTTACTCAATGAAAAAGTGATAGTTAAATCAGAAATTAATAATTTTTTTATCAAACAAATACATGTTTACATTTAGTAAATATTTACTTAAAACTCTTCAAACAAATATTTATTGAAATTTATTTTATGTATATAGTTTTTCTTCGGTGCACAAATACAAATTTTGGACGATACTGATCCGTCATCATCGACTTTTTAGCGCATCGCTCTTTTCGATGAGAAATTCTTTCGAAAATGAAACGCGAAATACTCCAAAAGTCTGCTGTTTTTTTAAATCCAAAATTTCCGAGAATCAAATCAAATAATTGAAGAATCTCGCGATACGGTGCTTTTTTTTTGCGTGTACGGTGAACCGCGAATTCTCCACGTATTGCCGCGAAACGGTTTTATAGCTCGTCGTAATAATTTTCAATGGAATTGCACGTTATCGTTTATTATCATATAGGTACACAGATTCGATACAGCGGCGGAATTTATCGCGAATGTGCGACGCAGCGCGTTATCGCGAAAACTTTCCATTTTTTACGCGTGGTTGCTGTTACGCAGAACGTATGATACATACGTAACCGGTAACATTCCAGCGAAGGGGTCCCATTCGTAACCGCCGCAACCAGCCGTCCGCCATGTCAGCCGGCGAGCGGCCGAAGGCGACGTCGACGCGTCGCGTCGCGTCGGAAGGAACAGCCATCGGCGGTGTCGGCATCGCGCGACGGTGTACTGTACTATCGGCATTGGCTTCGCGGCGCACGGTCACCCGCAAGAAAGAAAGAAGGAGGAAGAGAGGCAGAAAGAGAAGAGGGGGAAGGGAGAGGAGGGAGGTCGAGAAAAGGTGATGGAAAAAGATGGAGAGAACGCACTTGCGAAGGTGCGAGCGAGAGGGAGGAAGAAGGAAAGGAAGAAAGGGGGGAGGAGAGAGAGAGAGAGAGAGAGAGAGAGAGAGAGAAAGACGCAGGTACGAGGGGCCACACACGGAAAGTTCGCGGCGAGAGAGCGAGACGGAGGAAAGGGAGAGAGGGAAAAAAGAGAGAAAGAGAGAGATGGTCGAGCGCGAACTCGTGGTGTGCGCGGAGGTGCCACCAGCCGGAGTAACAGCGGAGAGTCGGAGGTGGCCCGTGCCTGTGGCTACCCGTAACCGCCTGTGGCCCTCGGAGCTGTAACTCGTCGCCGTTGTAACGTGACGCGTGCGGTGAAGAGGTGCGTGCCCGACGCGTATATACGCGTATACGCGTTCAGGAGTTCGTTCGCCCGTCCGCGTTTTATCTCCGTTGTGAGTCGCATCCACCGGGAGCAACACGGCGCGAGGTGCTCCGCTGCTCTCATTCTGTCTCTTTCTCTCTCTGTCTCTCTCTTTCTTCCTCGCTCCTCTCGTTCTCCTTTTTCTCGTTTTCTCTCTTTCTCTCTCCCTCTCTCTTTCTCTCTTTCCTTCTTCCTCTTGCTCTCCATTCCTCGTACCTTCTCTCCCTCTTTCTCTCTCTTTCTCGTGTACGCGAGTGTGATCGGTACAGTGCGATCAGTGCGACGTGATACGTTCTCGCTCGCGGATCGCCCTTCGCTGTGCTTCGCGCGACAGAATAGGTGCCGCGCGTACGTCATCGGACTGTCAGGAGTGCCTTACTAACTTCTTCCCCTTGAGAATTACTTGTCGACGTTGTCGTACGGCAAAACGCGAACACGACGTTTACCATCCTCGTCACAGTGAGATCCCAAACGGAGCAAGAGAGAGAGAGAGAGAGAGAGAGAGAGAGAGAGAGAGAAACGAACGAACGGATAAAGAAGAGAAAGAGCGCCTCGGCGTGTTGAACGAGGTAAGAGCGTTTCCCGTGTTTGTTTTGGAAAAAAAAAGCGACGGTAACATTCATTAAGGCCTGTTCGACGTGTGACTCCCGACATCATAGACGTACGGAGGTTATGTTTCCCGATGACCCCTCGACTCCCACCCCCCACCCCCCTCCTCGCGTCTCCTCGCTCCTCTCTTCTCCTTCCCTTTCCCTCGCAGTCGCCCTCCCCTGCCTCCGCCCTGCTTTTCCTCTTTCTCGTCGTGTCCTTTTCACGCTCTACCCTTCCTCCACTCTCTGTCTTCTTCC